TATATAGTTGCATTGTTTTAATAGGAAAAGCATAAATTCTTTCTAGAAATTTTGCGGGACATGATAGTTAGACTTGAGGATATATAGGTGCAAGACTAACAGGAAACCGTTAGAACTTGTAGGCGTTTAAGTCAAAGGTGTCATATTGATAACAATAGAACCGAAGAAGCGCGTTATCTATAAAATTGCATTGGATGATGTGACCGCTTTATACTGAATAAATATTTGAATAGTAGGTATTTGCGTAAAAGCGCTCGCCAGACAAGTATGCATGTTGTTATTTTGGAAATCAATATTCAGTCTTCCTTCGACGACATAATGTCAAGGGAAATCGATGTACAAGTCTTTAAAACAAGAAACGAATTTACCGAAAGAGCTTGCAATATTTATAATGGAAAGCAGATGGCTTACAACGTCAAGCTACCTGGCTAATCCATAACCATCGCGGAATTAAATGGGAGCATGGTCATACGCCATCCTACATGTTTCCAATTATACTTCGCCAGTTAATATCATCATCAGACCAAGTATACGTTAAAGGAAAAGAAAAAGCCGATTTCATTCGAAAAAAACTCTATCGCAAAATGTCACCGAGGTGGAAGAAGAACCAGCTTTACGTAAATTAGAAGCATGTTGCTACTATCATATACGCTCACTTTGTTGTTGCGCTTTATCTAACGTTTATTATACTTATTTATAATACTCATATAATTTATTGCAATTGATACATCTTAATACGATTACATAATATGGGCTCTAAAACAGCTGCAATGCGTTCTATTTTACATTTGAAGCGGTACCTATCTAATGCGACAGTTTCCCACGGACCCTTTCTTGCTTCTCTGTAAGCATAGGACCAAGCTCGCAAGATGTAAATTTTATTTTTTTGTTTCATTGTGTCAAACCATACAAACGAGTCTGAGAACGAGCTTTTTAAGCAAAACTTGCTATTGTACAGCTCTTTTTTCTTCCTTCTGATTTTCTTCTTCACATTACTCTTTCTTTTATTCCGTTCCACACTTTCCTCTTCATCGCTGATATCTCGATATTACCATTTCTTCAATTCGTTTACATATTCTTCTAATGTACGGAGCTACTTAATTGATATCAGTATTGCTACAGTAAACGACTAACTGTCTCCTTTACGCCTTAAAACTTTCTCGGATGAGCTGTTTTCTACATTTCTTCAGCATCGAAGTGACCCATTATAGGTTCTCCTAATAGATCCTCAAGGTATATATGATTACCAACCTTTAGCGACTTTAACAGTTTCGTAGAATAATTTGAAGTGTAGTCTCTTGCAAAAATTATCAGCCTCACTATAAATGTTTTCTATACCATTCTCTACGGAGAACTTAGCCCTTTGTTACATATACGACCTTAGGTAATCTATATGTAGGGGAAATTTGCAATGTTTTAACCCAAATAGGTCCCGCTATTTTCTTTATTATCTCAGGTAAAATATACTGTTCAAACCAATCAGTCGTATGATCGTATCCAATTTCATCACTTTCATATTCAAATTTCCCGCCGTTCTTGTTTTCCCAAACAATCTTCACTTTAAGTTTATCAAGAATTTGTGGTATTCTGCGTCGACATCTATCATCTTCACACATATACAGTTCTTTTCCGAATAATCTGCACAACACCTCTTTAATTTCTTTTCGCTCGGTAACGTAGACAGGGACAGGTTGAGGCTTTTTGGGAGGATTTTTAATCGAATCCTCGAGAATTTGCAGCATCATGTTAAAGATTCGTTCTTCTCTCTCCCCATAATTTTCCTGATAGCATTGTTGACAACAAGTTTCAAAGTCATAGTACTTTATCCCCTTTCTGTCTTTTCTTAAAGTACTTCCAACGCGGTATCCTTCTCTTTCGCAGCAAATTTCACATTTTTCCTTTAGCTCAGGTCGACAGTCGCTACAGTTACAAGGTCTTCCCCAATTACACGCTTTAGACATCGTTGAAGGGCTGCTCTTCTCGACAACACAACACCAAATGGCTTCTGTCCTCTGTTCTGAACCCCTTTATGTCTTTACGGAAAAGCGAGCTATGGGAATTACAAGGATCACACCTCCTTTAGGTCAGTTAGCAAACCCCGCTGGAACAGTTGGCAAAGCCGTTAGATCAGATAGGTAGAACCCTTGGATCAGTTGAAAAAGCCGTTGGACCGCTTTAGAACTGCTGTGAACCGATATTGGACCGCTATGAACTGCCTTTCGACCACCTCTGAACCGGTTTTGGACAGCTGTGAACCGATATTGGACCGCTATGAACCGCCTTTGGACCGCTTATGAACTTTGAACCGCTTCTGAACCGTCTCTGAACCGCTTTCGAACAGCTTTGAACCGCTTTTTCGAACTGCTTTGAACCGCTTCTGAACCGCTTTCGAACAGCTTTGAACCGCTTTGAACCGCTTTCGAACTGCTTTGAACCGGTTTGGTACCGATATGAACAAACAAACAAACCCGTTGAACCTGTTGACAAGCTGATGACAAACCACCTGGACTAATTGGCAAACCCGTTGGACCTGGTAGGATAGGCCATTGTATTAGTTAGCAAGATGATTGATTCCTAAAGGACAAACCTGCTGGTAAGGAGGCTAAGGTTCTTAAATCGCATCATGCTATTTCCGTCTCCACTACGCTATTGATTCATACCATCTATAAGTTTTCCCTATAATTTAGTCTAACTACAAGAGTGAAGGCGATAACATGTGTAACTGCTGGTCCTGTACATCATCGTCTGATGTTGCGACATCGCCATCATCAACATCATACGGGTATTTAGAAGAGGAATTAGCTGAAATATATTATCAAGCGACAAAGGAAACGTTAATTGGTGCTGTACGATACGTTCTCAGGGATAGTAAGGATATTGAAATAGGTTATAGCACTTGTCTTCATCAGGAACCTGTTTTACGCCTCTCTTGCAAGAGCGAGGGTTGCGGTGTCATATTGACAGTTGAAGATTGGAACAATCTTTTAAAATGGCAGCCCTATACCGAAATACAGCTATATCGATCAAAGAAAACAGAAAAATGTTGGTCTGCTGAAGACCTCATCTATGAAGACGTCAACTATGAAGATTACTATGAACCATTAAGTGACACTTTAGGCTTACTTTATAACTGGAAATTTACCGATGATTCGGATAAAATTATAACCACCATCGATATTCGACAATTTAATCAATCGTGCTGCATGCATAGAAACGAGATTGAGGAGTTGTTCAACATGAAATATGCAATAAACTCAAGACTACAACAACTAGGGTCCTATAACTTCGCTACCTTTTACCGGATATTTATCAATAAAATGGTTGACTTGAAAAGAAGTAATAAGGAGACCGCGCCTATCGCTGATGTATACGAAGATGCTAGATACTTAATTAATCAGCTGTGCATAGAAGTATATTACAGAAAAATGTGTTTAGAGGAAATCCTACATTACAATCCGTCAATTATTGCTAATGATGTAATGGCGAAGCTTCAGTATGTATAATAAAATTATTTATAGTAAATTAAGTTATAGATCGAGATCATTTTATTATCAAATTTCCCATTCGAACGGGTTTCAGTCGTCAAGTGCGATAAAAACAGGAAAACCTCATTAAAAATAGCTACACAAGGTTTGATGATTGGGAGAGCGGATGCTGCTTCCTATTCGCGCCATTTACGTTTCCTACTGATTAGCATGTCCTGCTGATTAGGATATCCTGTTAACGACCGGACGCTGTTTCCTGCTGATTAGAATTTACCGGATGTTAGTTTCCTGTTAACGACCGGGCGCTGTTTCCTATTCCCGCCATTTACGTTTCCTACTGATTAGCATATCCTGCTGATTCGGATATCCTGTTTACAACAGCGGACGCTGCTTCCTGTTGACGTGAACGGATGTTAGTTTCCTGTTAACGACCGGACGCTGTTTCCTGCTGATTAGAATTTACCGGATGCTGCTTCCTGCCGATGACCGGATGCTGCTTCCGTTATGGCATACCTACCCATATAAATATAGATGTAGAGTGATATACGTTTTCAGTTCAGAAGATGACGAATATACGATTATTTCGAGGTAAAGAAGCAGTTAAGGAGATAAAGCGTTTAAAGATAGATGATGTTTTTCTCTATCAGTGGTACATCGATCAGGGCGTCTACTGCTACATTAGGTACCTGAATTCGAAACCTGCAGCATTTGCGCTAATATCAAGAATGAACTTCGATCCTCTAGATATTCATAAAAATCCTAAGATGCTGAATTACGTCTATACTTTACCGGAGTATCGAAGAAGAGGATATGCCACCGAACTTGTGACTCACATCATTGGCGTTACTGAATTTTCAGCATTTTGTTCCAACGAGGAGTCCGAAAAATTGTTTGAAAAATGCAATTGCACAAATCACGGTATAGTAAATAACGCCGTAATGTTTAGATACCCTCAATAAAACACGTTTTGTATAAATTGTTTTTATTCCTAATATACCTATAAATAGATTAATGACCTATAAATAGAATTTGCTTATACCAACCTATATAACTTTCGCAACTCCCTATACATTTATTATCGAATTTATCGTAACGTTGAGTGGTATCTAGGAGGAGTTCGCTATATATGCGATACATTATTCAGATTTTTCCCATTCCAATTCGATCATTCGTTGAGATCAGTCGTATTGTATCTGTTGGTGCGAATTTTATTAGTCGTATTTTATCTGTTAGTGTGTATTTTCTTAGACGTATTATATCTATAGGTGAGTTTTGTTATTAATATTGCTTTTATTATTTAGTATTTTGGGCTTTTAGACGTGCAAGATGTTTACCGATTTAGTAAAACAGATTGCAAGTATTTTAAGTGTGCTTAGAACTAAGTATAGTGGCAAAACCGTGAGGCAAGGGATAATTAAGTGTGATAAGGCTAGACGTAGGATTCAAGATTCGATGCGTAGGTCATTATCCATAGGTGAAAGGCAACATCTTGAGGCTTGTTTACGTAATATTAAATCGATGCGTAAACACTTTAAATTAGAACAAAGGAGAGGCTTGGGTATATCTTTGAATAAAGGAACCTCCACTTCGGCTTTTAGTAATAGAAAAGAAACCGCAAAAGATCGCGTGCATTGGGATGACTCCATTTCGGCTTTTAGCAATAGAATACGAACTGGAGTTATCACTAATCTTAAACATAAAGACCCCGGCAACTTCTTAATGGATTGTAAGACCATCTTCAAAAGCCGAATTCATAACGCGTTGAAGCAAGATGAGGCTGTGAAAATAAATGCGATTTTTTGCGGGGAATTTGTGATTACTCAAGGTGAAAAGATGCTTAATGAGTATAAGTACTTTACAACATCAAATGCGGCAATATATAGGGATACTAACATAGATGAGTGGTTTAAGGAGAAGGTTGAGAAACCAATAATGAAGAAATTATCGGAATTTCAAGAACGTGATAGTGGTTGGGGACTTAGTGCCGTTGTTAATTTAGGAGTGAACATTAACAAATTTACACCTCAACTTGGCTCTTCATATATTGAGTTACCTGTCCTGATTAAGAGAAAAGAAGCTTGTATCAACGTTAAGAACGATGACAATGCGTGCTTTGCGTGGGCGGTGGTTTCAGCGTTGTATCCTGTTGATAAACATCCTCAAAGAATATCCAAATACCCTCACTACTCTTCCGTGCTCAAGCTAAAAGGGATCCAGTTTCCGATGACTATGCGACAAATTCCGAACTTTGAAAAACAAAACAACATCTCCATTAACGTGTATATTCTGAAGAAGGAGAAAAAAGACCAGTCTAATACGTTGCCTACCTACCTAACGAAGGAAAAGAGGGATAAACATGTGAACCTGCTTTTAGTGCAAGACTGCTACGAACAATCGACCAAGTTCCATTATGTTTGGATAAAAAATCTTTCACGGCTAGTATCGAAGCAGTTAAGCAAAGAAAAAAGGCAAAAGTATATTTGCGATAGATGTCTACATTTTTACCGTTCTGAAGATAAATTACATAAGCATATTAAGGATTGCATACAAAAGAATGATACAGCCATCAAGATGCCTACAGAGGAAAAAAAGATGTTGAAGTTTAAAAATTTTAAAAATAAAATAAAAGCCCCCTTTGTCGTATATGCAGATCTCGAGAGCGTTCTGAAACCTAGCACAAAAAAGACTGCATACCAACAACATATTCCAGCAGCTGTGGGATACTACTTCAAGTGCTCATACGATTAATCTCTTTCGTTCTACAACAGCTACCGCGGTGAAGACTGTATGCGATGGTTTGCTGACGAGATGAATAAGCTTGCGGAAGATGTCTACGGTGTTTCTTTGCCCCTACAAGATGCATATGACACCACAGCAGGAACTTGAATTTCAAGCAGCAACGCACTGCCATATTTGTGAACAGTCATTTAAATCTGGTCAAAAGAAAGTTCGAGATCACAATCACCTTATCCCGGAGAACAACTTCCGCGGAGCGGCATGTGAGGGATGCAACGTCAACTACCAGGACACTCATACAATTCCGGTGGTGTTCCACAACTTGAGTGGATATGATGCTCACTTTGTTGTAACAGATATTGCCACTAGAATGGACGGCAAGATCGACTTGCTCCCTATAACCAAGGAGAAATATATTTCTTTTACCAAACACATCAACGAGTCACGCATATGCTTTAGATTTATAGACAGCTTCCGGTTTATGGCATCATCGTTAGATAAATTATCATCAGCTCTAACGAACTTTCCTAATCTAAAGTCACAATTCTCTACACTACCTGAAGATCAATTTAATATTTTAACTAAAAAGGGTATTATGCCGTATGATTACTTCGACTCGTTCGACCGTTTCGATGAGCTGTGTCTGCCTCCTCAAGATGCGTTTTACAATAAATTGGAAGATAAGCCTTGCTCTCGAAGGAGGTATCGTAGAGCTCAAGAGGTGTGGAGTAAATTTAACTGCAACAACATAGGTCAATATGTCGACTTATACATGAAGACCCAGTAAAAAGAAAAAGGATTTATTTGCATAAGTACAACTTATAAGGTTCTAATCAAAACGTGAACTGCAAGAACTACTTTTAAAAAGAAAACATGCGCAAACGCAATTGAACGTTTAAACTTTAAAACTTCGTCCAGGTCCGTACTCAATACACGTACACGATTTTGTCTCTTCAACAATATTGATCTCAATCAAACCAACGCAATCGGTCATGGAGGTAAACATTAAAATGTTCTACATGGTTGCATTTTTACTGCATTTAATCATAATTTATTAGATATGTATTTATTAGGTACCTATCAAATTATTTGTATCTATATTACACATTAAAATGAAAATAAACATTATAATTAATAGCTTCTTTTTATTACTGATGTTACTAATGACCTGTCGGGCGTTTTGAGTATCACTCACGCACCGTTGCGCACACTGTCTAGGAAATGGAGTATTTGGCACTCAGTACGTTTCCTAGCTGGTCAGCGCAACCAGTTGCGTTCACGGTCTAGGGAACGTAAAAATGCATACGGTTACATCTACATGCCCAAGAGAATCCGGTATTTCTTAAAGCAATTATGGCGAGCAAGACAACTGAAAATTATATGGAGAACAGAAATACATGAAGCACTAACCAACAGTGAAATATGTAACATAACCTCAATTCGAACGTTAAAAAGCCGCTATCCTACTACGTTAATTGCAGGCATTAATAATACTAGCATCGTCCGTCGCACTTATACGCGCCAATATGACGAGAGTTCTGCTGCTCCTGATGAGTCTACTGAAATGTCACATCCTTGGATAACACCTTATGTACCGGCATCATCATACTCGTCCCTCAATGGTGACGAAGAAGAAGAACAAGAAGTAGAATTTCGATCCATCGAAATGGATAAACGTGAAAATGAACAGGATTATAAAATTAGAATTGATCGGTTGATTAGGTTGATTAGCAGAATTCAAATGGACCAGTGGAGTCTTCATTTTTATCCGGAATTAGAATTAGAACACTTACCATATCATAACTATTATCGCAACATAAATGTGGATCCTCGAAAAATTGATTTAACAGAATATACTACTTATCAGGTAAATTGTGATTGGAATGAGTGAAATATCTATAGCTTTATTTGTAATCTAATTTTTTCGATGTATGTGAACCTTAATAAAGAAAAAAATACGCCGCCGACGAGGACCTTTATTATAAATATTTAAAATATATAAAATTTTGTATAAATCTAAACACACATGAATGATTTTAATTATGAGGCGCACCTTCTGCATTAGTTTTTTTGAAGGACGAGGAGGACGACTGATGTCAACGATTTTGATTGTAGCAGTTCCTTTGACGAGGTGATTGGTATCTTCTGCGAAAAAATGCAAACAGGTCGCAAACTTTTTTTATACTTACGGTCCTACACGCACAAATGCTACTCCCCTTCCTGAGGGTTCTGAATTCGTAAAAACCCATATATAGTAATCCCCAAAAAAGGGGTCTATAAATAGTAGAATGTCGCGCCTCTCATCATAAACCAGATTATGTGCACACGGGCACATGATCGTGTACCCCTAAAAACTAATAATTGCAAACCATTTAAAAAATTATTAAAACACTTACGTTTGGCACATACTCTCGAATTTCGTTTAACAACCACTCACACTTTGAAATATTGGTCCTCGTCGGCGCCGATGTCATTTTGCTGCTCGTACACGCATTGAGAACAAATGATGCGATAAAGTGGTATTTATAATGCGGAACCCTTTTTGCGTCCTTAACGATAAACAGATAATTCGCATCCTTTCGATTTATAAATACCTATTATTCAAACGGATGGAACGAGGATTTTATAAAATAATCAAGCGGATGGATAGTTCACATGTTTGCTATCTAAATGTACATTATAAACGGCCGACTTTATTCGTAAATTTCTAACGCAAGAAGTCATTGAAGAGAAACCCGCGCTACCCCCCCAAATGAAGACATCGATTCACGTCCGCTTGCTCATTGTGCATTATAAATATATTACCCAATAAAACGAATATGTCTCCGTAGCTCAGAGATGTATTTATTTTAACGCCATATGCCACCCAATTTGCAAATTACAGTTTCCTATACGTTAGATGCGTATCATTTTGACGCCACCAAATAGTCCCTAGCCCCTATCGGCGACGCACCCCCGCGTTATACCCTTCTACAACTCGCAAACATCTCAATGCTCTCCGTATCGTTGTGGCTTGTGCTGCAGGACTAGCAATCCGCATATCTACGGTTCGAATCCCGGGGGCACCACGCACCCAGCTGCTCTTTTTACCAATTTAAACACCTTATCGCCCTATGACGCGTTTCCTGTTTCAGAAAATGCATGCTCTTATCAGCCTTTTCGTGACGAAACAAAATGGCCGACTCAAGCGATCCCATTCGTCAATCACGTACCACGTGACCAAACTACAGAGCTCTCATTGGCGTTGCTTATCTACTCATCTACATTTGTTAAACAATTTAACGTGTATTTTTCTTGTACAAGCTGTACAAGTATATATTTCCTCATTCAGAATATTTCTGTTGCAATATAAACATAGATCGTGTACATTGAGGCATTCAGATAATAGATAGTGTTGAATTTCTGTTCTCAAGTTGTTTGCTTTTATTTTACTGTCTAAACTGGCTCCTACCATTAGTTGTCTAAAGTAATACAAAATAAGTATACCGCAATTATAAGAGTCTTCTTGGTAGGTGTGGGGTACATGTTTTATTTTCCACAATTTATTTGAAGAACTGTATCCCATAAAATTAAGAAATTTTTGAAAATATTGATTTTTTTTCTTGGATTGCGCATTTTTTCTATCAAGAGGATCCAAATAAATAAATTCATTTGTTGAGGGATCGACTACAATCAAAATGTAATGAATATTATTTTCATTTACCGGATATATATTTATGAAATTAGTATCAACGGCATTAAAGGTGGGAATATTTCCGCAAAATATGTGCATAGCTATTTCAACAGACATTATTTTGAATTTTTCTCGGTTATTATTTTTTCTAATAAGTAACTGTAGGTAGATGTCTATTACAAAACTAGACAATAGTTCTCTAGGGTTTAAAGTAACAAAATCTTCGATATGAAGCTCCGACACAGGACAAACGATATCATTGAAACTGCCTATAATGTAATTTTTATTTTCAAGTGAACGATTACGATCTGAGCTATTTTTTATACGACCTAAGATAATAAGTTTATAATATGATCAATCATTTACCAAACCATTATTGAAAAAATGAAGATCATTTACTGGTCTTGATACTATGTGTCGTTCTCGAGATAATCTACGGGGGTGAGTTTTTCAACCCCTTGGACGGCCGTGCACGGAGATGTGTTTCTTGAATATTAATTGTGGTATTGTTACCAAAGCTCTCACGTAAATTTAGTCGTGATACTATGTGCAGTTCTCGAGATAATCTACGGGGGTGACTTTTTCAACCCCTTGGACGCCCGTGCACGGGGATGTTTTTCTTGAATATTAATTGTGGTATTGTTATCAAGCTCTCACGTAAATTTAGTCGTGATACTATGTGCCGTTCTCGAGATAATATACGGGGGCGAGTTTTTCAACCCCTTGGACGGCCGTGCACGGGGATGTTGTTCTTGAATATTAATTGTGGTATTGTTATCAAGCTCTCGTGATACTATGTGCCGTTCACGAGATAATATACGAGGGTGAGTTTTTCAACCCCTTGAATAGCGGTGCAACCGGCTCATATGTATTCTAAATTATTATTATTGATTATTATTTTAAATTCTGTAGTAATTTATTGACGTAAATTGTATTATAAAGCCAATTTATACTTCGGGCGTCTTCGGAAATTTGGTCTGCTGGAAACGGCCCGCTCTTTTCACAACGGTGAAAATATTACATCAGATGTTTAAAAAATCAGGGGCGCACTCATGAGAGGAGGGTTTGGGCATTACAACTCCCTCCAAAATTTTATATAAGTAGGCCTAGAAAAATTTTGATTTTTATAACATCACTTATTGACTATCTTATTATCCATACTTACAGATCTACAAATGGTGGTATAACTACAAACTATCCCCTCGAAAAAATGTCATGCCATTATCCAGTTAAACGCATTTCAAGACACTTTGCTTTATTTTACACAATGTATTACCATTGATGCATTGTCCCAGGTCACGTTTTGTAGGTCAGTAGGCGGTTTATCCGCAAGAATATCGAAACTAACAGTTTTACCAGTCCGAGTATATGGACAGATGAATCTTATTTTTCTAACTGCGGAGTGTTCAAATCGACATAATGAACACTATACTCGTCACAGGAAAACCTACATGTTGTAGTTTCACGCCGAAATCAATTAATATTTGTTTAAATTAATGTATTTTATGGCATAATGGGAAGTCATGTAATTGGACCGGTAATCTTTGTTGGATCTTTAACTGCTCACCATGATTTACAAATTCTCCAATAAACTTCCTTAAACGATTTTTCTCGACAACGTATGTTTCGAAGAAAGGGTTGATTTATGCTACCTACCAACAAGCTGGCTGCTCAGATCACAATTCACGAATTATGTACAGTACATTAAATAATAAAAGTAAGTACTTAATTAAAAAATAAAAGTAAAGTGGAAGTAGCTACCACTACAATAATAATAATAATCATCAATGGCAACACGTTGCCTAAACTAAACTGTCTTGAAGTGTGTTTCACTAATAATGGCCAGTATTTTAAACATCTGGTGTAATTATTTTCATTGTTTTGTTGCCTCGAATATATTTTGTTTTGTTTTTTTATTCGTCACAGACTACTTGATTAAAATACAAAAACCGTTAATATAACTGGTATCTTATTTTCAATCTTATGTTATAATAGCTCGTTGAAAAGAGAATTTAAAAATCTATCAAGTAATCTAAAAATCCAATATGGCGCCCATTTAACTTTAGGAAGATGGTAAATGTTCCTCAAAAGTGGCCATCTTAAATTTTTTTGACATCATTCTAAATTAAGCGTATCAAAGACAGTCACTTTTATATAAAACTTTTTTTTATATCTCTTATACTTTCGATGATATAAGACATTCAAGGAAATGAGCAATTTTAGTTTTTTTGAATTTACGTCGAACCTATGCGACATTTTGAATTTCCATAAGGAAATTTTAAATAAGCATCCAAAACTGCAAAACATTGCCCATTTAACCAATTCTCTATCTTTAATAATAACAAAGTTACCCATGCAATCCCACGCGATCTGGGGCACACTGTATAAGGTACTTGTACGTTTTAACGACCTCCAAAAACATGTAAAGGGAATTATGGATAAAATAAGAAATTTAGAGGGTTAAACTTGTTGTTATGGATGGTATTGCATCTAAATTTCCTACAAGTAACTCATAAAAATGATTTACTAACGTTATTTTATTTGTTACAACTTAAAAAATATTTTTTTATTATGAGTTAGCGTGTTTGTGACAGAGAACATTATTCCGACCAATCTTTACCAACTACCCTATCACCGACCTCACTCGTCCCGATTACCGACCGCAACTTGATGCTCTTTAAATAAATAGGTAAGTATGATTAAAAAAAGGTTCAATTAGTTCAAAACGTTTATTTATAATTCTTGAATTGCTATACTATTTATTGCCTTAAAGAGGTACGAATCATGTCCACTTCTGGTACGGAATAGATTCCTCTTTTATTTAAAGGGACAGGAGGATTAATAGTGGACACTATATCACTTTCACTATATTCTAAAATATCGTCTCTTTCCGGCCACTTCCAATGTTTTCCGCTCATGGCCATTGTTTTTACAGTTGCTCCTTCTTAATTTTTTTTTATTATTAAACCAGGAAAAAGTTCCTGCTCATATGTAACGATAACGTAACAACCCTCGTCATATTCGCGATTTCACTCACTTTTGTTGAGGGTCTTGGAAGCATTTCCTTTTCTCTTTATAGTTCTTTCCGCTTTAGCCTTCTCTTTCCTTTTCTTCTCCGCGTCAATTCTTCTTTGATATTCAATGAATTCTTCAGATGTCGCAACAGTTGGAGTTAATTTCTTAATATGTGTTTTTTTACCGTTTCCTTTCTTTACTTCCCCAGGCCAGAAGAGAGATTTCTTGAAAGGTGTAGGAATACCTTTTAAAGGTGTTGGAATGAGAGGACTTTCGTTTTCTTTATTATTAGAAATGTTATTAATTTGTTTCTCTGTTTGATGTGGCAATGGAGTAGCATCGTTGATGGTTGATGTGTAAAAACGAGCAACATCTATGTTCAAACCCTTCGACGATGTCCCTTCTCGATTACTTCGATTTTCTGTTGCAGACGATGATCGTTTCACTTTCTTACTATTACTACTATTGCTTTCAATGGGTGTTTGGTTAGGTGGTGTACAATGGGATGGTAAGTAATTGTTTACATTCATTCCGTTGCTATCTTCCAAGTTGCACGCCGAGATATTCATTGAAGAATCGCATCTTTCAATGGGCATTTGGTTAAGTGGTGTACTGTGCAATGGTGAACTAGTATTCGAAACCACTGAGTTGATAGTTGGAATACTCAGAATACCATTTGGTTGAACTTCCAAGTCCAATAGGTCATTTTCGAGAAATAAGTCGTCATTAATTCTGATATTGTCAAGTATAACCAAGCTATCATCTGTTGTTGGCAAATTAGCGTTTAATGTATTCTCGTGAGTGTTTTCATGAGTTTCTGAACTACCACTACATTCGGCCTTAACTTTTCTCCATAGAAAAAAAAGACTCTCATCATTGATTTTACCAGTCCATGATTCTTTTGACATGCGGAATTCCATAAGGGTATATGGATCAATCCTTTTCTCTAATTCTAACAAAATACTTGGTGATATTCTTGAAGTTTCAGTATGAATGTCATTGTCACGTGCGGAAACTGTGGAAGTCTCTTTTGAATGTTGACGTCCAACTTGATCTATTAGTTTGGAAAAGTCAAAATAGTCAAGTGAAAATGGATACAAGCCACAAGTTCTAAATCCATTTTGAATTGTATTCCCTGTTAGAACTTCTGATATACAGATCTCCATTTGCGAAGAAAAATCCTCACGCTTTAATTTTTGACCGTTATTACTTAATCTCCACTTCTGCACTTGATTTTTCCACGCTACCTTTAGTGGCCGAAAAACTGCAACATCCAAAGGTTGGAGGCGATGAGTT